CTTAATTCATTCCTATCGCTATTTAATTTTTCTGTTGTTGTTGTTGTTATCGATGATAATGCTTGATACATCAACTTTTTGAAAGCTATATTTTGTTTTGTTAAATAATTTGGAATTATTTCTAATTGATCATTGATTTCTTTCACTATCATGATAGGATCTTTTTCAGTTGTTGTACTAGTTGATAATTGACTCATTTTTTCAGATCTATTTGGTTCTTCTATTTCCTAGAAATTATATAGATATATTAGAAATATAATCGATTTAAATTTATTTAAGACTTACATCCAATTTTTCATTGACTTTAATTTTCTCTTTAATATTCCATGGAAGATCAACTGACATTTTATCGAGATTTTGCAAAGTTTCATCCTATAATAAAATGGAAAATACTTGTTAAAATAAAAAGGACCATATGACAAAAAAATTTACTATTACCTGTTGTTGTTGTTCTTCTTCTTCTTCATTGTACGAATTTGTATTCTTTGTTGTCATCGTTAATAGAAAGACGAAGAGTTATATCTGAAATTTAAAAAAAAATGAATTCAACAAACAAATGAGCATGTGGTGATGTTGTCATAATTACTTGAAATCGAATGAGAATAATAGAAGGTAAATTCCTAAATAGTATGATATAATCTAGAACAATAACAATCTAGTTATATATATGAATTTCCAGCTAGATGAAAAGAAAAAAAAAGAAACATTTCTATTAGATATCTATATAGATGTAATAAAGAAGAGGTCAGTATTAGTGAGAGGAGGGGGTATTGATAAATTTCATGATGACTTGTGTACGTTGTTCGATAGTGACGAGGCGTGCTTCAATAATGGCACACATAACCAAGCCATCTGATGAGATCCTTAAGCAAGATCGAAACCGATCATGGCAGCTTATTCACATCCACACCCACACCCCAATTTTTTTATTCTTTTTAGCGGAATATATGATAAACCTGTGATAAAAGTTTCAGGCCTTAATCATGTGCTGTTCGTGAGAAAATAGTACTTTACTCGAAAAATGTCCCGACAGATTTGTTTTGGTTCCAAATATCCCAACAGATTAAACTCAATCTACTAAAGATGATATTAATAGTAAATGCAGATTTTCTTTTTCTGTTTAAGAGAGTAAAGCAAGAGAAATCTTTTGATATAAAAACTTTTTTCTAGGAGCCGTATGAATGAAATAAAAGATTAAAATTAAGATAGTAAGGGTCATGTTAATGGTGTCACGCGCACGTTTAAGCTTTTATTTATAGGCATATATATGTGTTGATAAATTTCCACATACGCTCCTTTGATTTTCCTTTTCACAGGCTTTCGATTGATATATAATAACAATATACTAGTTGTTACTAAAAGATTTCTTTTGTGAAAATACTTCTAAAATTATTTATCTTATTATGTTAAGAAATCTGGAAAAATTTGCATTTTTAATATAAAATTGATTTTTTCTGAAACCAAGAGCCTGACAGCTGGAAAAATATCTGATTTACATACAATCAATGAAGCTCTATCCAATGCACAAGTCAATTGTCCTTCAGTCACTTTTTTTTCGATTTTTTTCTTCAAATCGTACAATCCCAGCGCAACTCACTCATATGTCTATTCGAACTATTTTACCCTACAACAAAAGAAAGACATGTATGGTTTCCCTCAACGAAATTTGGATGCCTGAAAGAACAGCAATTTTTTTGCCGAGACTTTTTTCACAGGAGTAAATCAAAGCGTCACGTGTTTGTAAAAGAAAAAAAAAGCAAATTCAGTCGACTGTTTGTCATGTTAATTTATTCGTCGTCACACAGTCGACATTTCTTACATTGTAGACATCTTTCTGGCACCATAGTTTCCGAGTGAATTTGTGGGCTGATTGAATATGGCGCAGTCAACATCGCTTCAACTTGTTTGGCTCGATGCCAATATTGATAGAGATATAAATAGAGAATTTTGGACGAAAATCCTTGAAATTTATCCTGATGCAATGAAATTTGATGACCAAGATGAATGTTTACGATTTTTAGGATACGGTGCAGATGATCCAAGGCGATTTATCTTAATTTTGAGCGGTATTATAGCTGAAAAATTAGTGCCTGATATACAACGGTGCGAAAATATCTTGTCCATTTATGTTTATTGTGCAAACATATTCAAGCATGAGGGGTGGTCAAGGCAATATGAAAAAGTAGAAAAGTAATGATATTATGTTTTTTATATGTTCATTATCAATATAGGTCACCGTCCTTACTTCAGCTGAAGAAGTGTTGAGAGGAATCAAGTCCGATCAAAACCGTTTTCGGTAGAAACAAAGTGTGGGTCTACGAAGCATTCAATAGATTTCCAATAATCCAGTCTATGATAATCGAGCACTGATGCAAAATACTTTTGACATTTCTGCCTAATAAATAAAAGAAAGAACTATGCGTTTGAAGAACATTCTGTAATCATAATATGATTTGTATGACAATGAAAGATGATGATTCGATGATATTTCGAGAAAGATTTCCTCACTTTAAAGTCGATGTGTTAGGCAAATCTGACGATTCTTGAGTTAATTATTCACGAAAGGAAATCTTCTAGGTTGTGTTGGTGGGTGTGGGCTCTTGTGGGTATGGGTTATAACAAGAGTAAGAATGATACTCACACCTACATCCTCAGATCATCGATCGATCGATATATATATATGTATGTCGGTGGTGAATGAGAAAACAAAAATAAAAAGGAAACTAAGGCTCTGAACAAACTGACTAATTCAAAGTGAATTAAGAAAAACGAATGGTCTTTTTGCATAACAACGCGAACAGTACAGGGTGTCCGGAAAATCACTGACCAAAATTTGTTTCATATATCTTTGCTGTTTCATTTAACATTATCAACAATTTATTTTTTAAATGATAGATGAATATACCGAGTTTTTATTTATCCGAGCCACTTTCGATACTAACCTGCAAAACTATTGTCTTTGATCGAAATACAAAAATTTTGCTATTTTTGTGTGATGTGAGTAGTTCAAAATTTGATGATGTTTTTTCTTGAGGGTGTGACCAGCTACCATTATCTATAGATTCGTTTTCGCATGTTTGAACGTTAATTTTTTTTGATATTATTTTTAGAGATATATCTGAAAAGAAAAGAAAGTTAGAAGTTGATTGAAAATTTGATTGGATTAAATTCCGAATCAGTCGAAAGATTTTTATTTATTTTATAGCATGTATGAATAAATTATTGATTTGAATTTATTTTCGAAATGTTTATGATTCTTCTTTTATGGTTTGGTTGATTAATCGTCCGAAGTGGAGAAACTTGCTTGTCATTAATATTCGGTCGATACGGGCTCGGTGATAGTTGAAGTTTGCTGTACGCTGGGTTTGGGTTTTTCGAGTTTTTCTAAATAATAGTAGTAAAGGAAGTGTTTTAAACTTTTTTTAATAAAGAAATGATATAAATAGTTTTTTGTTAGAGTTGTTTGACTTACTTTTGGTTATGGATGGCTGAGGGTGTGGGTGTGGGTGAAGACAAGATCCACAACTGCACCCACACCCACACCCACGCCCTATCCGAATATAAAAATTACTTGTCTCAAATTGTTCATTTATAGTGATCATATATTAAAAGTACTTTGTAAAACTATTTTTGACCAGTGGAATATATAAATGTCGAATATTTCTTAGTATTGAAAAAGGCAATGTCTGACAAACTTTCTTATCCAATACTATTTCTTGGGCAAGTTTTTAATTTTCATATTTTTTGTAGTATGGCAATTGCCACCAATTGCCCTCTGGTGGCCCGCCAATGATTGTAGTCAACCATTATTTACATTGTTTTATCTGAAATCATTTTTACCAAGCATGATGCATATCTATATTAGAATTATGTTAAATTTTATGGTTGATACCACCATCTGTTGAATACTGTTACGATTAGATAGACCATTCACTCTAAAAAAAATAGGTTTTCCACCGAACCCTGGAAAAAGGTTCGTTAGATTTGAAAAAGCATCCAAATGCATCATACTGTCTGAAAAACACTTCTTTTTTTCCACGGAACCTTTTGCTACGAAACCTTTTTTAAGTTCCGTACATTAGAAAAAGGTTTCGCGAGAAAAATGCGAAACATTTAGTGTTCAGAATTGAATTCTATGGTTTAGTATAAAACCATTGGGGTTTAGTAAGAAATCATTAGAATTCAACTCTGAACCCTAAAGGTTCCGTATTTTTCTTGCGAAACCTTTTTCTGATGTACGGAACTTAAAAAAAGGTTTCGTAGCAAAAGGTTCTTCCCGTGTATCCAGGGGAAGAACCTTTAAAGGTTCCGTGGAAAAAAGAAGTGTTTTTCAGACAGTATGATGCATTTGGATGCTTTTTCAAATCTACCGAACCTTTTTCCAGGGTTCGGTGGAAAACCTATTTTTTTTAGAGTGTTGTACATAGAAGTGATAAGCGAAATAATTTTAGTTTAGAACGTTATTTATAGATGGCATGGGATTTTCTTCATATATACGTATATTATGTTCAATATAGTCAATATAAAAAATTGTTTAACTTTTAGGTATTTCTTCAAATTTGTATTTCTAGAAAAATTTTAAAGTGTAAAATGAATTGGACTTATGAACAAGTAATTGAATGGTGTAAATTAGGGGTGGGCCATTTTTTTTAACGGAGCTTAATTAATGACATTAATTAATGTCTTCCATTAGACATTAATCTTAATGGTTGATGCTTTCTAAGAAAAACTTAATTCATTAATGTTAGCTCTCGTTTTGGGGATTATGTAGCAATGATAGAACTAATATTTAGTCTGCCAAAAATAGAGAGCTAAACATGTTTCAATAATAGGTTTTTGTTGTCCTATCATATATAGAATATATTAAGTATCGAGTATTCGATACGATAGAACATCAACAACTGCGCAATAGCGAACGAAAATCAATCGCGAGGATTAGTCATAGTCGAAAATATTACGTAACAAATCAAAATAGAGATCATAACAACAGATAACAGGAATAAACGTTTAGCGTCAGTGAGTGCCATCTACTGACGCTAACACCTTCCTCTTCCAGGAAGGTAGCCATGCGAGACTTCTTCGCACTGGATTGAGGAAGTCGAAAAAAGGATCACATATCGATTATATAATACGAAACGAAAAAAGAAAAAAAAGGAAGTTAGATAGATACACCAACACAAGTAACATAAACTATTAGAAAAAGGTAGACAAATAACAACAACAGTGTGTATAAACGAAAACAAAAAAACAAAACGAAACAAGTAACATGAGTGCTTATTATCGATGAACTCGAAAACATTCTATGTAACTATTTTTCCTGAAAAGGTTAGTTTGTAAACGTTTAGTAATCTTTTTTTTCTCGTTTTATATGATATAGTTTTCCGTGCCCTATGTGTCATTCTATTATAGATATATAATCGAAGGTCATTTGTTCGAAATAGATAAATATTAGAATAATATCGATAACTATTAGGAATGTATAATAACTCTGGAAGATGATCAACTCGTTTAGTCGATTCAATTATATGACTCTTCCTACTCCTGTGCACCTTCGAATTCTTNAATACATTATCGACTGGTGTATATTGATGTGTAATTAATTTAATGGCTTCTTGTGCACAACATCCACCAATAAATGCTGAAATAGAATGAAGCTCTGATGCACCATATCGACATAATTCTTCAACTGTATTTTCTCGTAGACAAATAAATCAAACAGAATTTTTAAAAATCGATTCTTTATCATTTATTGATGAATTAAACACCCATCATATATCAAATAAAGATATTTGTTCGACATATTTTCTTTATTCTTATGTGAATCGATGTCCTTTCTCTCTTCCATTAATGATATCAGTTCTCATTACCAATGAAATATTCATATATAACAAAGACTATGTTCATCTAGTTCGGCGTCTATTGATAAAAGAAACAAAGCTCGATATGTTCGCTTCTTGATAGGTTATACCTTTCAGTTTACATATTCAAGATTTATAAATTGATTTAAGAACTGTGAGGTGTAAGGAATTCATCTCTGTCCTATTTCTATTATCGGTTAACTTGCTCATGGACTATTATTATACGAGTTGTGAATTCTTTGCTCAATGTGCTACAAGTAAGTTCTCTATAAAAACAAAAAAAAACATTTTCTATTCTTATTGTTGGTTAAGTTAGAATACTAGTTATACTTGCCTTTTTTCTTTTGTGTGTTCTATCCTTGATAACTTCTGATAATACGAGTTCATCAATGAATGATGAAATATAATTCGAGTTAGAAATTAACAGTTACGAGCAAAACCATTACTCGTGATCGAATTCATCAAAGATCATGACGATCCATTAATCTCTAATTATTTTACATAAAAATTGTATGAAAATAAAGACAAAAGTTGAGATTATCATGTAAACGATGAACTTCAGACATTTAAAAATAAATTTTAGTTGATTAAAGTTTGGCAAAAAGACACGAATTTATTTATTCATATCCATTACAGATTGTCGGTGTATTCTAATTGCATAATAAGCATGCCTCTATCTCTAGAGCAACTATGAGTCGGATTATCTATCCGCTCGGTTATTATTGAAAATGGTCATGTCATTTTTGACTTAACCAATACGATGTGGTTTGATACAAATAACAGCTGAGAAAATATTTAGGATATATTTAGACAATATATTCGAATATAAATTGATTTAATACTTTTCTCGACCGGTACTTCTGTAGAAAACGTCTTTGATACGTTTAAAAAGAAAGATCCTTTATCAGAAAATATCATTCCTTTTATCATAACCTTAATATTTTTGTTACTTGTTAGCCTATGACTAACTTTATGCGCAACGAATGTTTAATTTGTAGTCAATAATTTAAAAACAATAAAGAATCCAATATAATAAATCAATAAATCATTTCTCAATTAATGAATGATTATCTTATTATAATTCGCATAGAAACGAAATCATAAATTTTTTCTAACATAAAAATAGTGATGACAATCAACATGAAACTTGAATTATATGGAATTTTTAGTAGATTTGCAATTCATTTGTATTTGTATTTTCTGATAATAACAGTTAGACTCTGAGTTTATTTAGCGATTACAAACGTAGAAAAAAAACTAACTGACGAACAAGTTCAATATTTACATGAACGTAAGCATATATATTATATTTTCATTCTTTTCAATACAAAATTGAGCAAAGTAGATTATACGATGAATCAAATTCCCGAGCCAATAGAAATTGACGCAATAGCTAAACAATGGAACATTGGGGATTTTGATTTGTCGGTCAGTGTATGTTTTGTTCTATCGAATTGATATTGAAAGTTGTTTATTTACAGAATTGTTTTTTTTCTCGATACATGCTTGAACGCGCTGTTGAACAACGTCGATTTGAAGCAAAAATGATTGCAGCTTAGTTTCAATATGAATTTCTTCTTTTTAACTTCTTGCAAATCTCACCAATCTGTAATTACAAGTTCAAATTTATTTGTAATCTCTGCGGAGATGTTTAATAAAGTCAAAAAATTGTTTATGCTCAAATGACTGATACATTTATCCCTTTTTGAATACTAATTATACGGTGGTTGGTGAAATAAAAATGGATTAGTCTTAATTTGATTGTATCAAGTTGAGATTAATTTATACTATATTTCATCTGCATTGTTATTGATATTTGTTGATGAGTGTTATTGAATAAGTATATCAGAATTATTTGAGTTATTTTTCAATATTTCGGTACTTCTACACGACATGCACCGCTTACATGAGAACAATGAGAAAGTGAAAAAACTAAATAGTACATCGCTTCAATCATTATAGAGCAGAGAAATTTAGATGGCGTGATCAGTAGAGAGAAAGATGTTTAAGAAAATAAGAGAACAGAAGTATGACAAGAATAAATTACGATCAGAAAATTGAAGAACAGAAGATATAGATGTGTGAACCTTATCTTTGCTGACACACTCGCAGACACGTTCTTATTAATTTTATTTGATTGAACAACAAAAACTACATCTGTACTCTCTTAGCTATGTAGTTATACCATCTCTCATTGTCTCTTATGTTTAATGGGTTATGTAATGCGTCAATTGTTTTTTTTTGCTTCCTGTTATTGTGATAGGTGGTGCATGTCGTGTAGGACTGCCTTCAAAATAATTTTCTATATATGATATGTAAAAAATTATAAGCATTTTTGTTAGATATAACATCATCAAGTTTTTATTGTGTCTAAGAAGGAAAAAGTACTATAGTGCATTCTGTTTATATTGGAAGATGATATTAACATTTTGAAGAGAAGTGTTTTTAATAGGAAATATACAACTGGAACTGTTTGATTGAGAAAAAGTAGTTTGAATAATTAGTAAACGACTGCATTTAATATGTTCGTGAATTAATAATTAGTTTAATTGTTCTATGATCTTTCGATTGCTACTTTTTATTTAATTTAATAGTTTCAAAAGAATCAAGTTATACCAAAAGAAATGATTAATTAAACACAGGTATAACTTTTTAATTGGTATGAATTAAAATAAATTTGTTCGAAATATAAACGATAGTGTTATGAACGAATTAATTATTAGTTTAGATTTACATCGAATAATTCAATTGGAATTTTGCTTTTTTTTTTTAATAATAAAAGAAACATTATAATAAATAATTAATGTAAATGAAAAGATGAAAATTTTCATTAAATTATTTTTTCATTGAAATTTCTTAACGCTATAATAATTTTATTATTTTTATCGATAAATTGAAGGTCAGTGAAAAAAACGTTATTTTTTTACATTTCCTTTCAAAACAATTACATTTACAATAATTAGATAATTTATTTCAACTTATTTCAATATTTTTACAGATTGAAGTAAAGATGAATTATTTCTTTTATTTAAATTTGATAAAAAAAATGATTAAGGAATATAAAGACAAGAAATCCAACAAAAAGCATTACCAAAAACTAAATATAACGGAAATACAAGTCATTTCAAAACTTCACTATCTATTCTTGAATGAAGAAAACTATAGATATGATATCTTCAACATATTTCTAGTGTCAATAACATTGAATAAGTCGATCAGTTGATATCTTTAAAAAAGACCTATATGTGTATGTCTTAATGAAAACCAGAAGGGATATATGATCATACATTTAATCAATTGGAGAATAGTATAATAGGATATTCAATTTATGACTTGTAATAAAGGACTTGTCTAGTTCTCTATTGATAACACTTTAAATTATCTTTCCATCAAACATAGCTTTATTTTAATTAAAAACGAATATTAAAATTTGAATGATAAGATCATTTTTTCTCTTTATTTTTTCAATATGCTAAGATAAAATGAGATACACTAGAGCTCTTTTTGCTTAGAATACGTTTAAATATAAATGTTATATAAAAACAAGTTCATTAAATGATATCCATCGAGAATCTTGCTTTTCATCACATAATAATACTACAAATCTTCCAGCTGTTATTTACGTTGTTGTTGGTCGAGACCTAAAAAAAACCAAATATTCTTTTTTCATATTATTAAAAAGAGACTTACGTAAACGATGAACTTGTTCCTTCATATACTCGAGATACTGCATTTCTGCCTCGATTGCAGCTATTTGTTTCAATCGATAATCTACTTCCAATTGATGTGCTTTAGCATCTTTCTTCTTGTTTTGTATAGCTTGATTAGCAATCATTTTAAGTTGATATTGGCAATCTTTGTGTCTCTGTCTCAAATCTGCAATCTAAAAATAAAGAAACTAGTTGCAGTGAACAGTAAAAATAAAAAGAGAAATTTCTCACTTCTTTACTATAATCGTTATCACCTACATTGACACCACTTGCAAGCATGATCAAGAATGTTAAACTAAAATGAAAAAGAACCATAAATGTAGAACAATTTTGAAAACAAAATTCTTTTGTTTAACATAGGGTCATATCAGCAAATCATTGTTGCTGCATATGTATACATATAGTAAACAATCAATAGATAAAATGACGACCAGTTTTAGTGCATTAATTATAAATAACGAAGAAAATAAAGAGAAGTTCATATGTATTCATTTAAAAGTAGTGAACTGCATCGGAGTTTTTTGGGGTTCGAGTAAACAGTAAATAAAAACTGTCAACCAATATCAAGGTCTTTCTTTTGAAATGTGGGTTTGATAGAGACGTTCTCCAGCTTGTAAATGATGTGCCGTGTTTCGGGAAAAATAATCAATCCATGAAGTTGGAGAAGGAAAATATACGAAAAAAATCGGAGTCCGATTTAAACCCGATTCCGATCCATTTTACAATTGTTTTCTGCGTAGAACTGCAGGAATAACAATTTTTTCAAATTCAAATGCGTCATCGACAGCTCAAAGATTGCCCTATCGAATTCACTTCTCGAAAAAGTTTGATCTTGATGTAAAATATTTATTTACGGTTTACTCAAAACCTGGAACGATGCAGATCACTAGTTAAAAGAGATAATATAACAATCGAACCTATAAAAATAGTATTCACGTTCAGAATGAAGAGATATCCTCTAGTAGAAGTTTTACTATATTAGATAAATATCCAATCAGTACTAAACAAGAATTTCAAATGAAAGATTACTCTCTAATTTATTTTATTTAAAATAAATAAACATGTTTAGGTCTTTTTAATTCATAATGAAAAGATGTCAGAAGTATAAATGACGATATTATGATTCTTTATTTAGTGAGAAATTATTGATAAATCGTCATGCATATAACATTGTCTCGGGAGTCAAGTTAAAATATTTTTTTTCATTTTAGTCTGAACTTTGTAGCGCTGTTGTTAAACAAATTGAGCTCAGATGTGTGAATGATGTTCATGATTTAGTATAATTTCATGTTTTATTTGCATTACGATTAGTTAGTGAATTATTTTTCGTCATTTTTGTGTACTCAAAAAGTGAGGTCACTCTAGATTCGGTCAGTGTGTCCCGGCTGTCCGGCCGTTAACACGATAACTCTTGAAAGCCTCATCCAATTGTCTTGAAATTTTGTACATAGAATGATCTCATCAATATTTCTGTCGAATTCGAAGATGAGAAGGATCCATCAAGAAACGGCTGAGCTATCGAAAAAATTGTCATTATTGACTAAACCATCCCTGAAAGAGGCAGGGGAGGGTACAGAGATTTTTTTCTCAGAATTATCCAAAACATATATAAATCGACTCAGTTTTTGCAGTACACACAACAATCGGATGCGAATCCGATGTTTCCTGATTTTTTAGCATTAGCAAGAACATATGAAATAGATTTCTTTATCTTTTTTTTTGTTATTGGTTGAAATAAAGCTGTACTACTACTACTACTACTACTTTCACTACTAACAATAGATGCCATGATTGATGGTTAATTTATCAAATCAGACAAATGGTTGTTTTTCTGATATTGATATTGATAATATTGTTGAATCTTTATTCATTGATGATGATAAAGAAGATGCTTATGATTGTAAATCTTCTTCAACTTCTTTCAATAATTGCTCCTGTTTTTGTTGTTGATATTGGTACAGATGATTCAACCAAAACAGATAAATGATTATATTTATTATTATTTATATAAAATGTGTGTGGTTTTCATTTTTATCATTTGTTGATATTGAAACGTCATCTTGTTTTTCTTCCACATTGTTTAGTCATCACTATGATAATTTCAAATGAAGCTGAACAGTTTCATCATCAAGAAAGACAACTTCTCTATATTCTTCTTATTAACCTGAATTTATCTAAACAAAAAAAAACTGTTTTAAAATAGAATACAAATGACAAATATAAACTGATACCATTTTCTTCTATATCTCATCTTTTTATAATAGTAAAATAAAATAAAATTTTTTGTAATTTTGTTTGTTCTTTTACTGCAAAATCAAGTCAATATTCAATAAGCATTGAATGTTCTTCTTTATAATTTACTGTTCAAAGTGTTTTATATGCTTGTTCAAGTACATTACGTACGCACTCGATAGAAGCTGATTCATCAATCGATCCTTGATATTGTGCCTAATTAAGCCAAACCATTTTGTTCTTTTTAAAATAACCAAAGTTATTATTTTAATCTCAAAATATCTTTCTTCTTTCTTTAACGTGTTAATTTTTTAAAGTAATTTATTATCTAATTTTCCAGTACGATCATATTTTTGTTGCTCAATTTCAAAATCAACCAATGCTCTCCATAATAACTCTGGCGTATCAAGTCTTGCTTACCCCATAACAAGGTCATAAATAGCACCTGCGTAATTATTATCACAAAAAATATTTTCCAATTCAGTAAACTATATTTAACAAAAATATTTCAACAAAAAAACATTTTTTTCTTCTTACTTTCGTCCAAGTTGTACAATTATCTGGATCAAACTCAATAATTTTTTAATATAATCTTCGGCAATAATCAAATTCTCTCAGTTGAATTTTCAAATCAATATAATTATGAAAAAATTTCCCTTTTCAACATGTACCAATTATTTCACCTTAGCAATAAAAAAGAATCATAGCTTATGAAAATAATAATAATAATAATAATATTTGAAATAGTTACAAGAATTTTTCTTACAGATGTTATTTGTTTTTGTCAAATTTCAAATTGAGTATAATAAAGCCAAATTGTTGTAAAATGTTAATTTTTTATGTAGGATTAAATTGAAACGCGCAATATAAATTGCATATGTATTTTCAATATCATTAGCTTTAAGTTGTTGAAATAAACTATAATTCAGTTATAAATAAATATAACGACAATCTCATTTTTCCTAATTGATAAGTCAAAAAATCATGCACTAAGACAAGAGTCCATCTGGGCTTAATTTCGATAGTGTAAGATGTATTCTAACTAGAGATGCACCTACGAGTATCACCATTAATCAATGATAAAAAATTAGATTTTGGTGAATTATGAGATCCATTAGGTTCCAAGGATTCGGTATCTGTTTTTTTTGTCTTGCTGTTAATGTCGATGAAGTCAGTAAACAGGGAAAGAACCTACGTTGATGATTGATTCTCAATATTATTCACATAGTTATATGATAAGATAATTGATGATATGTAAAAGCTGACTATTGTCATAGACTCTTCATAGGCTTCATGGTTTCATCATTGCATATCTAATTCTAACTGTATCCGACGAAAATGGTGATCCTAAAGAATGAATCCTTTGCAGCAGATCGACTATCATTTATATTCTCTTCTTTTTCTTATCTGCATTGGTTATTGACCATCGGTTCCAGATACAAAGTAGACTGCGAACAATGAAATATGAATTTCCCGTCGGATCCGTTTGTAGTTCCTCAGCCATGAATCCTATCGGATTTCGTCGGCTCGTTGAAGCTTGCAAGATTCGATCGAATTCAGAATTCGATACATTTATCTGGGCTCTCTCATTGAGGTTTGTTGAAAATTTAAACATATTTCTCGAAGATCATTCGAACTTACTTTGTTTTAGATTTTTCTCGTTCCATTCGCCTCTTTTATTGTCATCTTGTCTGAATGAGATCGAAAATTTCCAAGAGATTAATATGTCAATATAGAGAGACATAGAATCTACCACGAAGACGTAAAACTTTCTTGAATGCCAAAAACAATGGATGCTTCAAAATAAAACGTGCAATTTTATTGAGTATCTTTGACACGGTCTGAAAGCAGTAATTTGAAGTCTGACCTTTATATACCGGTAAATAGAAAATGTTATTTT